TCTTGGATGAAAGGCACTATGTACAATAAGTGTGAAGTGCTTTAATTGAAGAAACGTGAGCTGGCAAGTACAGTGGGACATGACATAACCGCACAGCAGTCACAAAGACGGTGCCCCTGCCTGCCTCCAAACACATCTGTGTAGTTCCATTAATTTGCTGTTATTCTAGGCCATTTTGTTTTAAATCTGCTATGGTATTCTCTTTCTCTTCTCATAGCAGTGTTGATACACAAAACTAAGGAAATGTGGCAGATGTTTCTGTTATTTCTCAAGAGAGAAAGGAGGTTGTATCTCAATTCCATGTGAAGTTAAAGAAATTCCTTTTCAGACTATCTCTATTCCAAGATAATATCCAGTTTTCAGGTGAAGGGGTTAACACATATAAATCCATACTATCTAATCCCAGTTCAGTAGGCTTGCAAAAATACCATTTCATAGGTGATGACACTAGCACAGAGATCTTCAGGGATCTAGACAAGACTAGAGCCAGGGAGACTGCTAGCCCTTTGGCCTATCCACTACTCCAGGCTCACTCTCCTCCTGACTAATGAGCAATCCAGGGCACACAAGAGGCAATATTGGCAAAGAAGTGGGGACAAAAAGGAGTGGAGAGGGAAGAATTTACTCCTTTGCTCTGTGGTAGTTTTGAAAAAACTGACTAGGATCTATTAAAAAAACTGATTTTTGTAAAACTCCCCTTTCACCACTTTGGTTTGAAGCAGTCAATTGCTTCATTTTGATTTATGGCATTTTTAAGTGGAAGGTAGATGTGCTTTACATAATCAAAGGCAATGTAGAAACAAAGAGCTAGATTTAGGAGGGGACCGGGAGGTTGAGGTGTACGTCTGGACCCTCTGCTGCTGCCAGGGAGAAGGGACCAGGGCTGCGGTATGAGGGCAGTTGCCAAGGAGGAGGAGCGCCCCTTACTGTTTTCACTCCTCTCCAGAACGAAAAGCACACTGTACCCCTTAGGATTCCCAGTCCTGCTCTCCCTTTCCTAAGGTAGGAGCAGCCGGCCCTGAACATCCTTTCTTGAGACAGCACGATTTGATTTTGCCTACACTGGGGTGAATATTTCAGTACTGAGAGCCAAGTTCTGTTCACTGCAATGCACAAGCAATGGCTGATGGGGAAAGTAGTTTTGGAAGGTCTTTTTCATTCCTAAGCTTGTGAATGGCTACCCACGGCCTTTGGCCTCACTCTGCCGAAGGAGAGGGTGCAATTGCTGTACTGTGCTTGGGGCAGAACTGTAAACGGTAAGGCTTTATCTTTTCCTAAGTATAACAGCTTTTTTGTTATTTTACAACGTAAAAATTATCCACATAGTGTTGTTTCTGTTGTCTGTCCTATGTGCTGTCCTTTAACAACGTGTTAGACCGTCGCCATGCTGTCGTTTCATGTACATCAACATTGTTCGGGAACAGTTAATGGCCATGCTGCCACATTTGGGGAGTCAGCCTTTGGATAGCTTCCTGAAGAGACCTTGGACAGAGATGTGGCAATGTTTGACAAAGCTGGAGTAGAACTGTTTTTTCTATTTGAAAAAAAAAAAAAGACAGAAAAGGTTTTTTGATCTTTTAATAATTGTTTTCGATTGAAATCACAATTTTTTTTGTGGGCAAGAGATTAAGTGGTCATTGTGTTGTTTATAGAAAAAAGTAGTTATATAAAGTACTTGACATATTAAAGAGTGTATAGTAATATTCTCTGAATTTCTTAAGAAGACAGACCAGGATCTTCCAGAAGGTACAACACTTGTCCAAACTTTTAACTCGACAGTATCACTAGGGTAAATGTGGAATTGTGAAGCCCTGTTTTACTTCCAATAGTACAGACATACAGGATGGGATTCGTCTCGCCCTCATTTTGGATGCCTACAAAGTAGCTTTCCACACCTGACTTGTCTCCTGAGGAACCTGTGCAGTCAGTGCAGTCATTGCATCTGACCTATTCTCAGTGTTTACTTTAGAGTGAGATGAAGTTCTTGCTATTGACTGAAAGGAATTTGACAGAATAGCTCAGATGGAGTCATCAATTTTTGATCAGACAAATCCCACCTCTAATGCTGAGTGACCACCCTTTTCTTATCTAGGTTTCAAGCAAACATGGAGACTATTCTTCGCTGCCCCATCAGTAGATATTAATTTTAACCCTCATCTAAGGTTTGCTTCTCCACATGTTTCTTTCTAATACATAAAGAAACTTTGGCTTGATACCATTTCTAAAATACTTCGGACTTCTACCTCCCTTGTCTTTTCAATATGACTGTACTGACCTTCATTACTACTGACAACATTATTATTATACACATAACACTCTTGACTTCATTTCCACCTGTGAAAATACAGTGTCTTTTGATAGCTTAGGAAACAGTTGATCACTGTTACTAATACTGATGAGTTTTCAAGGATATCCTCAGAAATGGGATAAACTTCGACATTGGACTTCAAAGAGTGGGAGGGAAAAGATAGCTGGAAAAACAAATGCAAAAAATTTCTGTGTTTATTCATTTCTACTCATATAGATGAAAACAAAAGGCAAACAACCTGAAAACAACCTGTGGTTACCTCACTACTGTCAAGTACTAGGAAGAGAACAAGTAATAAAAGCTAGCAGAACCAGATGAAATAAAACCAAACTAGTCTTTCATTCTAATAATCTATGCGTATGGCACAGTCATTAGATGACTGTCATAAAAGAGGAACTATATCCTAGAGTGGTGGTCTCAGACATTTTTGCTTTTTTGATTACCTTTATTTTGCAAATAATTCCCTGCAGTGATGGCAAAGTTGCATAGCATGGAAATGTACTCATCTATTCAGTGTCTATAAATACACACTTTATGAGTTTTGTCTGTACATGCAAAAGATAGTAAATGTCAAAGAGAATATTTTGCCTGCTTTGCTGAAGGGCCTAATTCTTAGCAATGACAATATAAGCATATTAACCTTCTTACAGACGACATAGTTACTTATTTGCTGAAATGAGCTCGTTATTTTCAGTGATATCAAGACCATTTCTATCATATCTCTGCATCCCTAAAATGATAACAAATCTTCAATACATGTACAAAGCGCTAATTCTCCTCTTGCTCTCATGTTGATTCTCAATCTAGCATCAGCATGAACTGAGAGAGAGCGCAAGAACAGGCTTTTTGAAGGAATATTAGGTTAGCTTCAAATAGAGCTGCAATTTTTGGGAGAATTTTTTGATTCTGTATAGGCGTATCTGTAACATTGTAGCAAATGTTGTCCTAGCAGAGGGAGAGTGAGAAACTGAAGTAGTCACCCTATGGTCTTTCCTTGAGCAGATGCTTTCCTCTGTGGAGAGTTTGCTGTGCGTGTCTTTGACCCCGAGCTTCTGTTCTGGGATCACACCCCAGGAGCTTCAGCTGAAAAAATGGGGGAATGGATCTGTGCCCCTGTTAACGATGAGACTAAGTTGTAGGGGAGGCATTGGATGATCTGAGTAAAATCATAGATTCTTTCGAACTGCATAAAAGTGTTCAGGTAACTAAGCCATGTGGCCAAACTAGTACAGGCACATGTTTGCGCTGCAGATGAAATGCATGGTGATAGCAGGCGGAAAAATGCACAGAAAATGCTGACTCTATTCTTTGCCCCATGGTTACTCAGCTCAGCTCAGCTTAGTTCAACTCTGCTCAGCTCAGCTCCCTGGCAGCAGAAGGCCTCTGGCCTGTTGACTATGTACAGCCTGCAGGCCTCTAGACTGGTGGCAGTCCCCGGGTGCTAAGCCATCTCCTCCATCCTATGGGACTGCCCTATATGCAACTCCAACATCCTAGCTGCCATGCTTTAGAGGTCCCCTCAATAGTACTCACTGCTCTGGCCTTTCCTCCCTGGTTCTGGTCCTTCTCCAGAGTCGAGTTTTCTTGAGAAGACAAGGTGAATAGGACATCCCACCACTTGCAGTGAGGTGGCTCATTTCTGCTATATGGTAGCATGGAGATTTCCATTACCTTATAGGCTGGCAGATCTCCAGTGAGGGCGCTCCCCCGCAGCTTCTGCTGTTCTCTGCCACGGGTCGGAAAGTGCCCGCCACCAGGGATGGTCCTCATGCTGTCTATGTGAAGCCATTTATGATTTTGAATTCCCTCATTATTGTATTTTTCTGCTGTTATTCAGGTGATTCAATACGATAGTTGGTAGTATGTACCTGGTGCTTGACAATACATCTCATGCTTACGTGTCTGTATGTGCATGTGGCTCCTGAGGAGAACGTCTATGGAGTGTTAATGTGCCAATTATCTCCCTCTCTCTTCCTTTTCCAGGGTATGCTCTGGTCAATGTCCTGGAGGAGGCAGATGAGGAAGGAGAGAGAGCTTTCCCTGTGCCATGGCAGGCAGTCCCTGTATTTGCACGCCTGAAAGGTTTGGAGGGAGTTGTGGATGACGCCGTGGAGGCTGTGAGCAGAGCAGGGTTGTGGCCACTTGCCTGATTTCAAGGAATTTGGCACCTGTGGTGCCAAGCAAGGCAGAGAGGTCAGGTACATATTTGGCAGCCTATTCCTGCCACCATTTCCTCCACAGTCCTGGGAAAGTGCATGCCTTGCAGTAGGCCAGGTCCTGTGTTTTGATGAGATGGGGTAAGAGCTTTGATGTTTACCGAGCCTCCCACAGTGTGAACAGGTGTCCTAGACAGCAACTTGGGGCAACTGGGTTGCACCTAGTCTAGTAGGTGCCTCTTTTGGGCTAGGGGAACTGCATAGAGCGTGTCAATAAGGTGTTATAATATTTTCTTCTCTTATCTGTGTAGCAAACCAGGCTTTGGCAGCTCTGGCTCCAGAATGCCTGAATCACTTGTTGCTTTCTTAATCTTAGATGTTCTTGTAGCTGCATTCCCTGTGCTAGACGAGGATGGAAATTGATCTGGAGAGCTGCTTTGTCTCTGACTTGCCAAATCTTCTCATCTCTTTCTTCAGCAGGTACAGGCACCTGCAATCATGAAGCAGTGTTATATCTGCTATCCATTGACATAAGATTTCATATTTACAAAATCAGTAAATGTCCACAGCTCCTTTCTCACTCCTTTTTCTGTCCAGCAGAAATGGCTTGTCATTGCAAGGAGTGGAGACTTCTATGAACAGCAGCTGGAAACTGAATTGTTCGGTCACTCCTGGAGTCTTCTGCACTACATCTGGCTAGTGACTTAACCAATGTAACCTAGTGCCTAGTGTAAAACAGTAAAAAGTTTTAAGAAATTTAGCTGTGCTGTGAAGTTATTTTTTCAAGGGCTAGTCTCTGCATTAATTTTCATATAGACCTGTTTTTTCATCGTAAAGGTAACTAGCGCTTGTCCCTACTTGAAAACTGTGATTAAAGAAAAAGCTAAGTGTAACATCTCTCCTTGCCTGAATTTTGTGGATATTTTGGTTTTTAACCCATTATATAACCACTCTTGCAAATATTGGCAGACATTTGAGAAACTTCTTGATTTTTTTCTGTCTTTTTCCCCCTCTAATAAAATAAATAGCCCCCTATGCTTCTCACATCACCCATCTAGACGTGATTTCAACGTCATTTCTGCCAATTTGGAAAGCAGACAACAGAATACTTGGAAGGTGAAAAAACATTTTGTTCCTTATGAGAAATAAACTTTTTTCTCTATCCAAAGGTGGTTACTTAATATTAATTCCATATATTAATTCCACAAGGGCTCCTAAGGGTGGGGGGTGGGTGGGGGGTGGGGAGAATAGCTGATGTTAACAAATTATCTGCAATGCGTTGAGTAATAAATATAAAAATAGGCAAAATCTAGAAGACAGGCCAAGTCAAAATAAGTCACATCACTTAGTTATATGTCCATGTGCTGGAGGCCTCTGCACCTCTGATGTCATCCACACTACAAATGTGTCTATATCTGCCTGTTTTACGTCCTTACGATGTTCCTTTTGAATGCAGTCATTATCACGTCGCTGTTACATCTAAGCTTTGGAACTAATTCCTATATATTTTATGCTCTCTTGTTATATTTTGTATTTTTTAATTGAACACATGGCAGATAATTTGTTAGCAAGTGCCACGGCTGTCATTTTTGGCCAATGTGGCATGGCTTGACTTAAGAATATCTTTGAACTGCCGCCCCTTGATAAAAAAGAGCTATGACATTTAGACAAGGCTTGTAGTCTTCACTGCACGGCAGTCACAGAAGCAAACCTGTGAGAGACTTCCCAGAGTTATGGTTTACCTGAACCACTCCTGTGATCTCACCAGAAGGTTTCCATAGACGCTAGATCCACTCATGACGGACAAGGGCTGGAGACTCTTCCTGCAACTGCTCAGCACTTCCTGCAGAGTGGAATGAACTTCATCCTTTGTATAATAAATATATCAAAGCACTCCCTGGAATCTCCTTAGCTACACGATTGTTGAAGAAATGTTATATGCTGTTTTCAGCACTTCCCTTGCCAAAGGTAGGAGTTCTGGGCCTTGCCGCACAAATGGCAAATTTCAGAACACATGTTTCATCACATATGAGTTGCTTTTCTGGTATTACTATTCCATTTCATCCTTCACTTTTCATAAAGCGGAAAGAATAGTTAGCAACAAAGTAATTGTAGACTGTCACGGGAAAACTGTCTCCAAATAAATTATTACTTCAGAAACTTCAGAAAAAGCACTTCTTCCTTGTCATTGAGGATTTATGTGTCCATAAATATGCAAAGTTGTTTTGGGTTAGTCAGTGATTCCACATATTTATAAGATTTCTGCAACCACTTCTATCTGAAATTCAACAGTCTCTAACCATTTTAGAGTGTTTGCCTGGAGACATTTTAGCAAATCCTTTGAAAATTGCTCAAACTAGGGATTATACATTGTATACACATGTTCCAGTGTTTAACTTCATATTCGCTCTAAGCAAAGAATCATCTAAACACTTCTTGAAACTCTTGAATATCAGGTCATTATGATCACAGGTAAATGGAACAGAATCAGTGTTTCTATTGCTACCCTGAATCCATCCTCAAAAGAGGTTTACAGTGTATTGCCGATCTCATTAATCATCTTTGCCTAACACTTTAGTTCATATAAATAATTATTTTGGATTTCAATTTCACAATACCTCAGATAAAAAGAGGCACTTCTTTTTCATGGTCTTTTGCCACGGGTTTGGATAATTTTATTCTGGATTTGAATAGCTGGCCAAAATAGGCTTTGAGCCAAAGCGTAAAAGTTTCAAAGCCTAACAAGTATGGGATGAATACGGTCATATCAACCCAGCTAACCCATGGAAGGTAAGAATTAGGGAAGTATTTTTTTTCTAAGAGTATTCAGTATCGTCAGTTCCTGGTAAAAACAGATATTACCACCAATTTCAGAACCATGAATATAAATGGTAATACTGTGAACAATGTCCTACACCTCAGGAATAGAGCTGAAAATATTTATTTTCAGAAAATAAGGTAAAAAGAAATGAATGTTTCCTTTCTCTCCAATTTGTCCTTCCAAAGGTGTATGTTGCAATGTGCGTTTGGCTTATCCTCATATCTACTAAGAGTACTATGTGGGAAACGACTTAAACGCCACCAAGGACATTTTTGTGCAGCAGATGAATTTGCTCTTGTATCTTTGCTCCACTAAACAGGGAAGCCAATTTAGGAGGGGAAAAGGAGGCAGGTACATAACGTATGTGGTTTGTGTCAATGTAAATGTTATCAGTAAAGACAGGTAAGTTTGAGCCTGAATGTTCACACCCGAGTCCAGAATTGCCACATGGTTTGGAGAGTGTTCAGATACTAGACTTTTCCATAATGAAATGGAGAATTCATGTGAACTTAATGTTTTGGTGACTGTAACTCTTGCCTGTCGTACATACTCTTTTAAAAGCCCGTGGCTTCTACATAACAGGGTAGCTGAGAGGTATGTCAGATAGATCATGGGTTGAATAGATCACAGTAAAATGACTGCGGGCAAGTGGAGAGGTTTTCTTATATGTATTTCCCTGACTTCAGTACAGTTTTAGGGGAAAGCCGAGATTATGCTCTGGGGCGAGAAAGGAGCTTTTCTGCTATTGTGCCTTGCTAGCTAGTTAAGATAAGGCATGCCTTCCCACATTGAATGTTATGGCTTACTGGGTTTACTGGGTAGTAATAAGTGGTTTCTGCAAGTTTAGCCAATTCAGGATGCTCAGAGCTTTTTCTGCAGATACTCTTAGCTCTTAAATACAAATACTTGTGGAAATGAAATAAGATTTGTCCTGTCATGTGCTAGTATACTATTCTGTCCACTAGCCAATTGCTGCAAAAAGCAACTAATTACTCTGTATTTCCACAGGTTACACTGTTTTTCAAAGCATCTTTTTTTTTTTTCAAAATACGGCTGAAAAATAAGACAATTGCTTCTTCTATGAACAGAGGACCAAAGGAGAGTGCAAAACACTTGGGCTGATCTGCAGGAGGCAAACTGAAAAGCTTTATGTCTAGCAAAGTTCACTTCATGCTGGCCTGTGGAAAAAGAGATTGCAGGGGTGAGAGAGGTGAGAGAGATTATAAAAACTTGGGAAATCAGAGCAGAGAGAAAAGACCTGCTTACTTGAAAGACAAAGCACATAGTGGTGGTATTATAGTAGTGCTAAGAACTAAGGAATGGAGATGGTTTCCCTGGACTGCACAGTTGATCATGCAGTGCAAGTCTGGACATATCACAAGGCCCTGGACAGATATCCTCTTCTGCAGTCAGTGGTTGTTGACTTCAGCGGCTCATCGCCATCCTGCCCTGGACAGTCCTGCACTTGCAAGAGCTGCAAGCGTACTGCTTGCCTGAGCGCTCTCTAAGATGAAAATGTGTTGGGGATTGTAAAGTCTTCATCAGTTACAACTGCAGCTGAGAAGAGCGACGTCCAGGGCTTAGAGAAGAGCCTACCGGTGCTTAAAGTTAAGCAAGGTGAATTACCTCATCTCCAGCATCTGTTTTGCCCAAATGCATGCAGGAAGTTTACAGTGAATCATGAAAGTTTACACTGAATCATGAAATTGAGTCTTAATTTTTCTTTGGTCCTGGTTCAACATCCAGCTCTAGACCTTCAGTGACATTCTCTACACAATGCAATGCAATTTGTATGTGTAGAGACACCCGAGCTAGTGCTGAGTGAACTTGGACGCAGTAGCCCTGCTGAAAACCTGGCTAGGACTGCCGCAAAAAATATTGTTCTAAGGCAACTAAAGCTAAGACAGGTTTTAATACTTGCATCTGGTGTATCTGAGTGGCCCTGCGCTGTGCTGTGCCCGCAAACCTTGTCTCCATTTGTTTAAAGTGGTGTCCCCTGGTCTTCTTAGTACCTACAGCAGTTAAGAAGACATCCTGCTTTTTACAAGTGATTAAGAAGGATAAAATCACACTTAAATTATTTCAAAGCATGGAGTTACGATAGGCAACCTGGAATGAGGAGGGAAAAGGTTAACTGGGACATGTAAAGTCTGTAGTAGCACAATATTATAGTAATATGTCAGGCATTTTGCTAACTAGTCTTGTCCTTGTAGGCTGATGGACCCCACTGTCCCACCCACAGATTGCAAGGCCACTGCCTGGAAACTGAAACAAAACATATATATATAAAGGGTTCCTCTCTGACGAGGATCAGAGGAGGGATCTTTAAAACATATGCACTTTATATGATTGAACCACGTGGAGATTATAGTAGTTTTTAGCTTTGGATATGTTTGCTGCTGCTGAGTACTGGTCCTTTAGGACGCATAACTTTCTTGCACAGGCTGTCTTCAGCATACACCATTAACTCTGCAAAAGCAAAACATCACAGGAATTTCTGTAGTTGCAGAAGACTGGTTAGGGTGCACTTGACTGTATAAAATTGAAACTAGATTCAACTTTTAACTCAAAAGAATGCAACAGAAACAGAAAAACACAAAAGATTTCTCTTCAAAGTCTTACCAGGTGAACCATTTCCTTTCATGAAAATATCTCCTTCGATTCTAGCTGAGTGGACCTCACAGATGAGGATCAGTAAGGAAAAAAAAACCCCAAACAGGCTCTATAAGCGTTCTGCTGCCTGTGTGAGAACAAGGACGTGCAGGGCTTTCCTGCCTCTGTCTCATCTGACCACAAAGTCAGATACTAGAGAGCATGGACTACCAGGGGGTTTGTATCTGGGCCCTGCAAAGATTCCAGGGTGTTTTCTAGTTAATAGTAAGCAACTATTTTTCCAGATTGTTAACTGGTAGAAATCAGGTTATCTGTGGGCCTGTTAAATTGGCTATTATTGTGAGTGTGGCATGCTTTCTTTTATTAAGAGCGTTTCAACCTGAAAATAACTTTGCAAAATACTAATGAAGTAGGGTGGAAAAACAAAAATTTCCTTAGTTCTTCTCTAAAATTGTCATTAAAATGCAGAAGATAAGGAACCCCTTGCCTTTAGGCTGAAAGGTCTGGATTGCTGTCTGCCTACATTCTGTTGAAATCTGAAAGTAATTCTTGTACTTAACCTTCTATCTTATTTGATGAGTCATAGGAGTTTTTTTTCTTCAGTTGACTGTGTTTTTATAAAACACTGTAGAGATTTTGCTGTAGAGACTTTTTTGGGCAAGCTCAAGGGAGTATTGGGACCAAATTTAGACTCTCTGTAAGCAGGAGCGTCTCTCTGGCTCTGGTCTTGGTTTGAGGCCAGTGGAGCACCATGATTCTCTGTCAGGCGTTGGAAGATGTTCATGTTGCACATGGCCCTTTGGACAGGTTTTACCTCAAACTAGCCAGGGCACAGAAATCCAGAGGCAAACATCTCCAGTGCATCAGCTATGTTAAAATAATACATTTACCAGAATCCCAGTTTAGATATCAATGTGTTTCTCACGAAATATACTGGGTTTAGGGTACCAGAAAGAGTTTTTAATCATAAATATCCGTTTTGGGTTACACTGAAACAATCTCTATCTAGCGAGTAGCCCACTGGATTGCCGAAGAAGAAGAACACAGGCTAGATTTTCAGACAAAACATGCTCACTTTCAAGGCTAGATTTTGAAAAGTGTTTTTCACTCCACATCACCTTTACTGGACCCAGAGGACCAACTTTTATAAGCACTTGCCATGCTGGGTATACTACAGCTGTTACGCCTCCTTTCTCTATTTTCAGGGGGAAAACCTGAAACACAGATAGCTGATGGCTTAAGAAGCCAAAACAAACCTAGACCTTTAACTTCCAGTTAACAATACTCCAATCACTCTTCACAGCTTTACGATAAAAGAGTGCTTTCAGACTCAGGGGTGAAAATAAAGCTGAATTCTGTGACTAGTATTAAAAATGAGATCCATAGGCTACTGTTGCCCTTTAATACAGTATTCCAGGACTGTATAAGAATGACATGAAAAGCTGTATTTTCACTAGTTCTAGGAAAACTGCTATATGCATGTTACTTGACTGGAGAGAGAAGACTGGAGTGCTGGTGGTAGATGAAACTGTAATTATGGTGATTATTTGTAATAGCAGCATGTTTAGGCATGAACCTCTAAAAGCATAAATGATGAGAGAATTCCTACTTGTTTTGGCCAGAAATATAATAATCTAAGATGATAATTACATGATAGTTAATTTTATCATTTGAAAAGTCTTGCTGAAACAACAACTCAGTGGAACAGGCAGTCAAGAATTGCTAATATAGTGTATTTCAGACCTCTGATCATCCCGCAAAGATGATTTCTCACCAAGAAGGTGGCTCAGGAATGAAAATATATGTGTCATACTGGTATGGTTTCCAGCTGACTTGGGTAAGGTCACTTACGGTACCTTTTTTAAGAGCTCAGGTGCAAACCTGAGTTGTGAATCTAAAACTGTCTACTTTTGAAAAGGGGATATCCACTTGTGACACTCTGAGAAGGCATCTCTTTCTCTTTGTCCCGGAGTTCCCCTATTGTAGAATGAAAATTATATTTTTCCACCTCTTCTTCTGTAAAACTAAATTAGGAGGTGCTCACATAGTGTTGTGGTAGAAGCTATATGATTATATAAACTGTAATTTCAGAAGACACTCTGGCTTATCAATAATCTAATTCCACTGATTCACCCAGAGGGATCATTCTGATTTCCAAGGCGTCCGTGAATCCTGCCATAACAAAGCTTTAATTCCTATTGCTCTTATGACTTAAGTTATGAAGAAAACTTTTTTAAAAATATAATTTACTTCTCATAATTTATGCTACTCATTTAATTTTTGCATTTTATTTAACAGACTCAAGAAAAAATAATTGGTCAGCCTTCAGTGGCCAAAACCATTCTGTCAGGAGAGCTTTAGATGATACCTATCCGCTTAGGACAGAAAGATGTCGTGATGACAGTTCACTGTATCCTCCAGCAGCATATGCTGTCATTCTGTGGAGGCAGTAAAATGACAATTAACTCATTTTTACTGGAAAGTTTAATGTGAATGTTAATTAAAGTGAAATAATTTATCTATAACTACCATTTATTGTTTTTTGGTGATTTTTTAAAGCAAATATATTTTAGGCCTATATGGAATTAAATGTCTCTTCAAGCTGATCAAAAACACGGATCCTAATATGACAAAGACAAATGACAATCTGTTACCTTGAATACAGAGTCAAAAACAGGCAAACTTCTCCTGTTAGCCTCCTCCTATACTGCCTAGTTTTGGTATAAGACAGCTAAGCAGAATTTGATAATAAACAGTACACGCCTGAGGTTGATAGCTTGGATCCTGGCTTTCCAAGCTCTAGTGAAGTCTGAGCTTCTAACATGAAGCACAGAAGCAGCAAGTCTCTACTTTGGCAGGAAACGCATTTGCAAATGTTTGGATTGTTAACATATGCTACAATTACAGAAATTTGAAATTATTATGGAACAGAGATAAGCCTGCTAAGCACTAAGCTTGCTTCCTGGAAATCTCTCTGTTGAAGAACTTCCATTTATTTTGTAATCTCACAATGTCCCATCTGCATCTTCTCCAGGGGTTCCTATAAAAAAAATCACATCTGACGTCTTTGTGCAGTATATGAGACTTAACAACACGGTCCATCTCCATTAGCAGAGTTCATTTGGTGTAACATGGAGTGTACTAATGAGCTGACTGGATCTTGTTTGATCACTGTAAAGGTATTACTTGCTGCTATTCCTTTGACAGTGTCCAACTACTGTGAAATAGAGTGGTTGATTTTTTGCATAAGGTTAATGTTACCAAATTATGCTGGAGATTGAGCACAACCAAAAATTCATTGCTATATCTTGATTACTCAGTATTACTTCTTTATATATGAGGAAAAAATATTTTATAAACAGAGCTAAAGCAAATAGTAGAAAATAGTGTTAGTTAATGATGCTTTTTTTCTAGCTTACCTTAGCCAAAATCACTTCATTCTTATTTAGAAAAAAAACCATTGAATAAAACCATTGTTTCCTCAAGCTCCAAAGCCTATCTTCGACAATGAAAAATATCAGATAATCAGTACTGATAGTTACAAATGAAGGAATGTCATCTTTCAGTTAAGTTCCTAGCCAGGCCAATGTTAATATAGTTTGAGGAGGAGTCTTTAACCAGACTGAAACTTTAAAAAGCACCACTGGAAGTCGCTGAAAATATTTTCAATGAATTAAGTGATGGTTTTATCGAACCACTTGAATTATGCCCTAAAGCAGAAGATTTGGTAAGTCTTCATAATAATTATCATGGCTACCAAACCTGCAGGTACTAAGGTCAGTCATGTAAGCGTTTTGTCTTTGCCTAGATCTCACCAAGTAACCTTTCTTATACTAAAAAAGATTATAAGAATTTTTGTAGTTTTTCATTAGTTCAGTGGAGCCTGGAAGAAAAAACGAATCCCTCACAAGGAAGAGTACAAGAAAGCTTATATGTGAGTACTTTCCTAGTTCTTCTAAGGCAAATATAGAAGTTTACTAAATGAATGCATGCCTAGTATTTGCCAACTTCCTAGGGTTCATACATATAACCTATTTCCTTCCTGAAAGAAGCTATCAAAAATAGTTAGACTCATCTAAGAGGATCCTTACGATCTTTACAAGTGACTAGGTAAAGAGAAATACTTCTTAAATATTTGCTGTTACTTGATAGCCCAACCACCTTATCTAATAGTTTGCTTACTTTTTTGTGCACAGGCACCAGTGACTCTTCCTTTGAATCTATGACAACATATATTGCATCAGTACCTCTTTGATAAGGGGCTGTGCGTGGAAGCTGCAGTTGTCTATAGATTAAAGGAAGTTGAAAGGAGAGTTACACAATATGTCCATTAGTCAAAGCAAGTAAATGCGTTTAAGTATTGTCCAATTTCTAATGAAAATCTTTCTAGGTACAAAGAAACTGGCTTGGCTGCCCTTGGTCTGCGGCTCTCAATGTATACAGGTGTCTTCAGTTTAATTGCTCAGCGCAGGACTTATTAATAATAATAGCTGGAAACTTTCATATTTGGAAGATGAATAGTGTCTCAAAAGCAGAGTGCCAGCACCGATGACAACCAGAACTTGATGCTTAGTACTTTTAATGAACTCATTAGCAAAGGATTTGAAGCACTTTGCCTGCTAAGTGCACTGCACTGCAGATGAGAATATTCTCATCTTCACCATTGGAAAATCTAGAGATTTGTCTGAATTTCAGAGGCACATACTATTTGCTTTTTCAATCTCTTTACAGTCTTCACCTGGAGATGGACTAAAGCAGTATGATGACTAGCATGGAGGAACCCATTTTTAGATGTTGTTCCTCCAGCTGCTCTAGACGAGGGAGCTCTGCCAAGCTACAAGTTTGAGAGAGCTCTGGGGACACACGTGGTGCCAAGCAGCATGGCCTGACATGCTTTCAGATCGAACTGAGGTAACAGCTAAAGCTCAGCACTAATTAAGAAGGGATTTTTAACTGCAATTTTGGTTTATGGTATATGAAGTTTACCTAACTCCTGTTTTAGACACTTCAGTCTCACTTCAGTTCGCACTCTGAATTTCTTTTATATTTAGAAGCAAAAAAGGACGGCTAAGTGAAACATATGTTGCTGGCTGAGGTATCAATTCCTTTAAACATTTGGTTACATCCTGTTTGCCCCTAAAGAAATCTGATTTATGCTCCGGTATTTTTCACTCTGGCATGGCCATGAGAAGCAAAAGGCAGTCTAAACCTCAGAATTTAACCTGGAACCTTTTAGAAAAGGAAGTTTGAATTTATTTCATTGGAATTAGGACAAAAACAGATCTTGAGATCAGTTGCATGTTGGATGCAAAACCAGCCAAAGTTGGGGTGTGTTAAGAACTGTGGTTTGGGCTCAGGCAGGTTTCTTATCATACGTTATTCATGGGACTGGACTTTTAGACGATGCTTATTCTTTTCTTTAAGACACGTAACTTACGGATGAAATTTCAGAAGCTTTCAGTGCTTAAAATTTCCCACTGTACCTCAGACCAGATTTTCATTTTTTTAAAGCTTAAGTTACTGAACTCTTCTGAGAATCAGGTAGCTTGCAACAATGCTTAAATGGAAGCTGATGTTTTTGTCAAAGGTGTTTTCTCCAATTATTTTTTGGTCTTCAAACAAAGGTACATGTATAGAAATATGTATAGAGAAAAACATGTTCTGCCCAAATCCATTTCTTACCTCAGAGGCAAAGCCAGCTGTACGAGAGGACGTTCAAAGACTAACGTGTCAATGGTATAAACATTAAATATAGCGCTACATTCCTGACCTCATAGGTAGGAAGCTTCATGTCACCAGTTACAAGGCTATGGAAATTTCAGCCTGAAAGAGAGGAAGAAGAACAAACATTAATTTTGTGGAGAGAGGCAAAAAAAGAAAAAAAGAAACAGATTAACATGCCTTCTTCTGCAAGGGCTTATGTCGAGTCTGAGTACTTAAAAACTTATGTCCTGTATATGAGAGAGCCCTATGTTGAAGGAGATACCAGATACCATGCATGTGAACTCTGTGTTTTACAGGCTTTTTCTGTAATGGGTTTGTCATTAGTAAATAGTCTGCTCTGTGAGAAACGGTTGGTCAGTGGTTAACTTTCCAAAACTTTCTCATTATCTTTGAAACAGAGCAGATCTACTGAATTAAACTCAGACCTGCTGAGATAATCACATTGAACTGGAAGGGGACTGTACCCTTAAAAACCCTCCTGCAGGGAAGCTAACCGAGCTTCCTGCTCTTGAGTGAGGTGATGGCTGGAAACCAAAGCGAGGGGTGCCCTGAGGAGGCCAGGAGGCCCATTAATTCTGGAGCAATTTCAGGATGCCTACATGACCTGTAACTTATTTTTGCAGAATGCAACAGATGCATACAATATTCAACTGTAACAACATACTGCATTGTGGACTAGTCACACATGCAAAATACCGGGATATATCGTGAATATCTGCAGCCAGAGGATCATACCATTCTGAGACTGCTCATCCACACCATTTTTTTTTAACAGAGCATTATGTCAGCAGCAGTATAACCTTTACTTGACTCCTGGGGGGAGTTTTCTTTACTTTTAGTTTTAGACCTCCTGCTCTGATAGCTTCATTTAAGGATCATTTCACTGGAGGGAAAAGTATTGGGTTTCTGTGTAAATTATTAGCCGAGACTGTGAAAGAAATATGGAAAGTATGGACTGTGGAAGCTGACTGCAGTGATTCCCTCATGGCAGTGAGGAGGTGATAACAACAGATAAAAATTGATACAGAAACAATGAGCAAAGGACTGGGCCGTGCCTTTAGAACGGGAGCGCAAGCAGATGTTTGTTTGCTTCGCTACAGTCATCTTTTTGTATCCTTTTCCAGCACATAAAATCTAAGTTACCGGGGTAGGTCTGCTATAGACTATGAAGAAAATATGGAAGATACCTTTCCATGAGCATTAGGTGAATTCCCCTTCTGCAGGGAGCAAAGTGGGGATGAAATGGCTTCCCTCTCTGCCAAGTGTCAAGGGCCAAAGGGTGATTATGATATCTGAAATATCTTCCCTTGGTCAACAGAAATAAAGGCACAGGAAGTGAAAGCAAGAGGAGACAGATCTTACCGAAATCAAAACTGACCAGGATGTACATATTTGTGTTCTGTTCTTCAGAGGTTCCTTTGGAAAAAATCATGCAAGATTCTTGCAAAATCCATGGTAGCTGATAGTTTAAATCAATATTCTCTCAGTTCTTGACATTTCATGAATATCTGAGGGAGGAGGTCAACTACCCTAGCCACCTCTCTGGCACACTCATGTATTGTCTTGGCTGGAATTCCCCTGTCAATGCTGATGGTGAAGGATAGCCTCACCTCACCCTCTGATGGCTTTTCTACTGAAATGCCCTGAGGGGCTCCCCACAGCAGCTGCTGCCCAGAAGCCACCAATGCACTCTATTTTTATCGCTATCAAGGGCAAAATCCCCTGAAAGTTTCTGCTTGGCAGAGTGCCACTGGTTGACTCAGTGTCATGGTTCCAGCAAGCGATTCTGCTGTTACTTCCTTATGGGCCGTACATGGACACCATATGTATTTGGATCTATCCTGTCTTTCTGGTCCTTTGCTTTTGTTCATATCAATCATCATTTTATACTTGTTGAGATTCAGGACTTCCATCAGTAATTGCTCTGGTAGAATGAGATAATCGAAAGCCAGATCTCCTTTGTTCTAGCTCGTATTTACAGCTGGTTACCCACAGCTTCTCTAAATTCCTTTTAGGTACAAATCCTTTTGCTTAAACTTGGCCCAACACTAATTTGTTCTGGAAAGTACTGAAAGAAATGGTCCCAGCTGCCTCCTTTTGAAAAAGATACTCAAAATGGATAAGTTTTCACACTTTTCTAAAAGGTATCCAGCTTTTTGTGTGGACTCCTTTGGATTTTCACAAACTTTGAAAAGATAATCTTTATTCAACTTCATTTCAAGTCCAGCTATTGTTACTGTTTATGTACTATATGAGATACCTACCTGTTTGGTCAGCTCCAAAAGTGTCAATTGTAAGGAAATGCATTTGCGGAACATACTTACATTTTAATTTATTTATTTTGGTTACTAGTGAATGCTTTAAAAAAACTTGCATCTTACTGTTTTTTTTTCTTTTCTCCTCTTCCAATTTTTCCTTTTGGAAAGAAGTAGTGATATTTTTATTTTGTTTTCAATTTTACTGCAGTAGAGGAGAGCTAGGGACAGGGATTTTCAATTCTTCTTTTTTATTTTTTTACGGATAAAATTCTAATTTGGCTTCATTCACTGTGGAAGCCTTGACTGGGTTCCCATATGAAGTGCTTGGATCAGATTTAAAAATTCCCAAGAATATAGGTTTTAACCCTTCAACACTTAGTCTTCAAGAAACACTCACTTTGTCCACCTCATTTCAAAACAGAAAGTTGTTTGCAGACACGTGGAAAATATTATTTCCAGATGATACAGAACAGGAAAAACTTATCATTCTGTACTTGAAGAACTTCTTTTTGTCCTAAATGGGCAACAAATTTTGTTCCCATTATCATTAAATCATGTCCACGTGATGAGCAAACCAAAACAAATTAGAAGGATAAAAGTGGTGATGGAGAACCATAACTAACAAGACATCTGTAACCACACAGAAGAAACCGGTTCTTTGTCTCCCGTAATGTTTCTCTTTTTCATTCCTGTCAAACATTGTGGCCTACTGTCGTCAGTTACCACTTTGTCTCTTTTTTGGATTGTGAGGTACCTAGGACTGAGACCTTTTTTTCTTAGCATTTTGCAGGCTGCCATTGATGTCCGTGGTTCTGTACAATCATGGCAATGCATTTGTGTCTGCTTATGCTTTCACACCTTTTTTTCTGCTGTGGTATACCAAGAATACCTGGATATGCTGGATGACTTTAAAAATCTGTAATGATAGTAACACCTGAGGAGAATAATCTCTGTACGTTCACCTGTCAGGACTTACAGTGTCAAGTGAACAAATCCAATTCCACCTAATAGATCTATTTTTACACCCCTAAGAGTTATTAATATATTACATATTAAAAAACAAGTATCCTTATAAACTCTGCTTCATATGTATAGATAGGAGTCATTCCTTTGAGTAACAATACAAAATGGGCAATTTCAGGTCATAAAGAAAACAGACAGTAGTACTAAGCACATGAAACTGAACTACAAGGCCTGGGAAAGTAGCCTAATAAATGAATAACAAAACGGCCAGATAGATAAGAACACTTTTTTCAGAGCTCTGCAACTCACACAACTTAATATCGTTGTAAGGGAGGGAAGTGTTGCAAATACTGCCTAATTCTTTTCTGAAGCTCATGTCCTCTGCAAAAAAAAAAAAAATACAAAAAAAAACCAAAACTAGTAACCATGCTGAAATGATTAGCGTGATTGTACCATGAAATGGCTTGGATTTGCTCATCTGGCTTCAAGTTCAGAGGAATGACCAACAAGTTGACTTATGTTCTTAACAGTGTAGACCCAGAAGGGTTCGAGCAGATGTTGCAGGCTTACTCCAGGCAAATACACGAGGTTTTGTGGTTTCTCTTAAGTGTTTGCTAATATCTACCACATTGCAAAGTCAAATGTCCTTTCTCAACAGAGCCGACTATTCATAATACAATACAGATGATTTAATCTGTGGTTAGGACTTTCCATTTCTACTCGAGCTCTGTAAAGTCTGAACTGCTCAAACCTATATTACACTGACACATAAAAAATCTCCCAAATATCTCTGATCAGTTCCAACCCCCCCTCCAAACTCTAACAATTCACACCTCTGTGACTGCATTAGACTGTGATCGTGTCTATGACCCTATACCTGTCCCTGTGCAAATAGGACATTTTTCCTTCAAATCTTTAACTGAAAGAGGTGAGAGGGGTTTTTAGAGATGTTTTTGAAGCGATAAGAGGTAACTGTGTTTTCAGAGCTAGAAACATCAGGATCTTGAATATATTTGATTCTATCATTTGCAACTAAATGTGGGCCACACTCTTCTACTTGTGACTTGCTTAAACAAAAAATAAATGCTATTTATGTTGAAGATATGCTCTGAAATACAATCTACTACCAGATAAATTACTTTTAATCTAATGGTTGTTTCTTTCAAAGCTAATTTAACTTGTCTCTGCAGTCCCAGACGGATTGAAATCCTGAAAAGCTTTGTTATTTTTTTTTCCAGAAAATAATTTCTTTCCCAAAATGAGGAGTTTCTGAATAATTCAAATGAATCCCTTCTGAGTTTGGTGAGAGCTATTGGACTAAAGCACTGGGTGACAGAAGACTTAGAAAACTCTAAACAATTTGTTTAGACATCTTAAAACAAAACATTTAATTGTTTTTGCTTGAAAACTGTTTTCATTAATAAACGAAGACAGAAGCCTGAGAGATTAGAGACTCCTAAACGATGCACTGTGACAAAAGAAATACCTCTGCTGACAAAAAATGGATTGTGAATTTTTGTTGCTTTATCAAAACAAACAATGGATTTTGGTTGACTGGAGATAATTTTCCTTCCCCCCTACTTTGGACAGAGAACCAAAAAAAAAAAACCACCCTTTTCATGCATAGCACTATTCCAGAGTAAGTCTCAGATTAAGGCAGAATGAAATAAAGTTTATATGTTGATTGAGACCCTGGCCCCTTTGAAATCAATGGCAGAATTCCCATTAATTTCTCTGGGGTCAAGGTTTCATCTTCATCTTTAAATTACAGCTCAGTTTTCTTTCATCGTACGCTAGAGAAGTGAAGGAGGCTTCTTTCTAGTTAAATCACTGCTAGTGAATCTGTCCCAAAAGAAATACATGAT